CCTTTTTTTTTAATGTTGGCAAAGGCAATCATGTTGAAGTTTGGCACGGCGTTGCCTTTCACGTTGCTTTTGCCTTCTACTAGGCAGAACCGAAGACTGAGAAACTTGAGAGGTTTCGCCACAAGCAGAAATATTGTCATCAACACGAGCAACCGTACGAGGGTGCCAACCGACTCCAACAAGGTCTTCTGGGGTTGAGCATCCTGCGGAATACCTAGTCCAGATATTGTTAATGCTGTAGAATGGCTTTCCTCCGGTGGATAGCCTTCCCCAACGCCACATGGCACTCGCACTAAGACGTAGCTCGACTGGTAGTAAATCTGTATGTGCTACAAGAACATTAACAACTGCTTGCGCTGAGAGAAACGTCAGAGATGGCATGTAAAATCCAATTTTGTCCTCTGTGATAAGCATCAAATTTACTTTTCGATTGCGATGTTTAATAGCACAAATATGCAAGTCGGATATAATGGTAACAACCAGGGATCCCCTTTCTGAAAAAAACATATATAAGTTATAAAGATATTATCAGAGAAAAAGGGGGTAATATTTACAAGAGTGTGTTTGAATTTACCATGAGGTTTCAAGGTGAAACCTGCGGGGAGAACGTTAGTCCGGACATGCTCCTTGGTACCGTAAGCCGTGATTGACACGTTACCAACATAACCTTCTTCTCGGAGGGCTGATTCGATGTTCCGACACAGTTTTGAGATCGAGACCGCTAGGGATCTTGCACCCATTCCCAGTATACCCATCATACATGTCCCAGAAGACGAATGTCTCAACCTCTGAGAAAACAATCAGAATTCGATCAGATCTATTAATTTGCTATGACTAGATCGATCGAATTGAATCTAATCCCACAGATCTAATATTAGTTTGCTGTGACAAGATCGATCAAATTGAATATAATCCCACAGATCTACAAAAACAATATTAATTTGATGTGACAGATTCAAATTGAATCCAATCCCACAGATCTAGAAAAAAAAAATTCGAGACACAACTTACCGGCGAATTCGTTTTTCTTCTTCAACGAGGGCATGATGAGATGATTGGAGACTAAACGATCTGAAAGAGTTGAAGAACGAAAACAGATCAAATATGTGTATGCGAAAGAATAAGCAAACAGATCTTCGYTTAAAGCCTATGAAACGTTTACCTTGCACGATAATAAAAAAAAATCCAAGCATTCGATTTATTTATAGTGCCGAAGCGACACCAGAACAAATCTAGGGTTTAAAAGATAATACCGTCGCCGAAATGACAATCATACCCCTGTCTCTTTTCTTTTTTAGTCGGTTGTTTCCGGTCTCCGGATCCGA